CTCTCTCTCTCTCTCTCTCTCTCTCTCTTTGTGGGAAGTGCCATCTCCGCCTTCTTGCTTTGTGCCAGGCTTGTGGACACAGAAAAAAAGGAGTGCCCAGCAAAAACGCGACGACGCCCACTGCATGCAGTGCTGGACATCACCTCCTCCTCCTTTTGCCCCTCGTCGTCCATGTCTGGCCCCTTCCATTTTGCTCCTGTCTGGAAGAATCGCCATCCAGCGCGACCTCCTCCTCCTCCTTTTGCCCCCTCTGTTTTGCTCCCATCCGGAATGAATTGCCACCTCCACCCAAAACAAATAAGCAGTGGGCGAAACCTGAAAAGAAAGAAAACATGAAACGCCACCAAAAAGAACCGATATCGCCCCAGACCGGTCCTTGTCCCCAGACAGCAGCACGCAAGACCCCGTTTAGACTTCATTTTAATTAAAGAAGATAAAAGATAGGTGTGCATGCAACTTGACCGCCGTGGCGAGCTCCTCTCTTATACGCATCCTCCCTCTCACATCCACTCCTATTCTTTCTTGAGCATATGCATATGCATCCCGCTCCCTCCTTCGCCGCAACGGTCCTGAACAGGACATCCCCGTGTTTTTGCACCACAGAGAAAAGAATAAAAAGTGCAGCGCCGATCAAGAGGGATATCTTTCACCTCGCAGTGTGTGCACCTTTCTTAGTATACTTGTGCAAATCTGTGGAGGGCTTTAATCAGCAACCAGCAGCTACCTCTTTCCAGCAGAGTATACAATGACGCATACGGATTCAATCTTCTACACATAGCATCCCCAGCGAATCATTGTGCCGCATGCAGGAGGGATGAATGACAGTGGAGATGCAGCCAGGAACGACTACATACGTGCATGCCTTTCTGGATTTGCCCAGAGCTCCACGTGCACGCATTGCAATGCGTATGTAGTCATTCTGTAGTGTGTGATGCACGCAGAGATGGGTTAAATTATCTTTCCTTCGTGGGGATAGGTTCCTCCTCGACATGATGACGAGCCAGGCCCGCTTGGTGTGATTGTTATTCATCATCGTCATCGTCATCAGATGCTGCCAACGATACGCCCTGTCGAATACTGCGCCGTTGTGACTGACTGTGTGAGCTCTCTGCAGGTCGAGGCGCGAAACCAGGCATGCAGACTCCATCATGGAATACAAACTGCCCCATCTGTAGTCTCTCTTCGAGCACCTCCGTTCTAAAGTCGTCTCGCCCTCCTAGCTGATCGAACCCAACCTGCGTCACAAAGAAAGCAACCTCAAAACTCATCATCATGGAATGTACGCTGTCGCCGCAATCGACTACCGTTTATTTCCTGAAAGAAGTTAAAAAAGAACAGATAACAGGTGATTGTGTGTTCGAAGAGCAGACAACAGAAACTCAGGAGGAGGTTTATGAATGGCGGTGGGTGCACATAGGATAGGTTGTTGTGTCCCTCCTTTCAATCTTTGATTATGATTGTTACTCCCACAAACAGGGAAAAGAACGATAGACGCCACCACAAGTGCATACGCCCATCAAGATAGACTTTTGGTGAAAGTGCAATGCACCATCATCACCCAACCTCTTTTGCTGTTTCACCCGGGTTTTTATGCTCTTCCAGATGTCTCATCTGATCCCACAAGCCGCTGAACCTGGGCCCCCTCCCAACCGTTCTTTTCTCCTTTTTCAAGAAAGTTTTTTTGACGTACGCTTTGGACAACAAGCAGCAGCTTGGTTGCAAAGGGGGCTCACACTGCATGCCTATGCAGTGAACACAACCTCTGCTCAAGAACAAGAAATTTGTCACACACTCACACACACTCACACACACACACACACACACACACACACACACACACACACACACACACACAGAGAGCAAAAAGCCTTATACCTGCCTTCCAGTTAGTGCTGCAGTGTCTCATTTTGCCTGTGGTGGACAGTGGTTGGGGCTGTCCCACATCATTATGGCCTCCACCGATTCACGAAAACTTAGTGTGCACCAAAAACCGGCATCAAAAAAGCAAGGCTTGGACACACTGGCAGTCCAAAAAAATATCTTGAGCAGGTTTTGAACTCATGATCTAGTCAACAGTTACATGCATGCATGGCGCACCGCATGCACATGTCCGCAGCACAAGTGCACTGCGGTGCGCCATGCAGTGCAGAAAAACTAGGTACCGTGCAGCAAAATAAATAAATAGATTTCATTCAAAAAACAAATAGAAATTTCGTTTCAGATTTCCTCAAATTTGCAGAAAAAATATACGCTGTTGAAGACATGTGTCTCAGCCAAGAGTTAGTCAAAATAATACCCAAAAAACGCCCCCCGCCCAAAAAATAATTTGCAGAAAAAATATACCCTGTTGAAGTGATGTGGAGGAGATGATTATTAACACGACCCCCTTGCAATTAAGAACAACAGACACACATCAACAAACAATGCACGGGGAAAAAAAGAAAAAAAAACCTTTAAAATCAGAATTTCATCATTTTTTTTTAATTCATTTCTTTGCTTTTTATTTCTGTGCACACCCACACCATGCTACCTCATGGCATGCACACAAAGGATGGAATGGTGTGCGCTTGCAAGTTTAGTTAAGGACAACCGACAAACATAAAGAATTGCCGCTCAAAGGAAAAAAAAAAAAAAAGACACTTCATCAGAATTTTTATTTCTTCTTTTCCTAGGCTACCAGAGTGACCCGGGACCACTTGCCCGGCCGGACACAAAACAAATTAAAAATTAAAAATATATATATATATGAGTCGGTGAAACTCCGACGAAACAGTTTGTCACAGCCCCTCGTTTGTTGTCCTCTTCTCCCTCTCTGCCTACGGTTTAACGGGCAGTTCTATTTGACGATATATATATATATTATATTTTTCTCACTTTATTATTTTTTATATTTTGGTGACAAATTTTGATGTGACCCTGAGGCAAAAATTCTTCATTTTATTTTTCTGCATAACATAGTTTTTCCTGAGTGGGGATCTGGGCCGCCCGGGTGACCGGCAGGGGCCCGGGAGAGGTCCCGGGCGGCCTGGCCGGGCGGGGC